AACGGACAGGATTGCTTCCTGTTTTTTCTATAGCTCTGGAAACTACATTGAGGTGTTGCCCGGTTAGTGTAGGTTTAAGGTGGTGAGGTCTGGCAGGGCAGTTGATGTGGGACTTTTGAGAGGTTGCTCTTGGTTTTTAATGGAGATAAATGGGTTTGTTAAGGGGCAGCCAGATGTAAGCTGGATTTCAAGAACAGACTTCCCACACAGATGGGAAAGAGTAGCATTTGTGGGGATCCTTTTCTGGATGCCCTCTTTCTGATGGAGCTGTGGGTGTAGTTGTTGGAAATGAAACAGAAATGTTTCATTTCTGAAACATTTGCCCACTCTGCATGATTAATCTGTGTATTTCATCCCTAGCATGTATTAGATTGTATTCAGTTAATCTCCATCCTTAGCAACCATAATTAGAAAAATAGTTTTTGTTTATGTTCTTCAGAAATGAACAACAGACCTCTCTACGTACATGTTGTTTCTGAGTCTGAAGGGCTCCAAAGGTTATTGTGTCTGAAATATTTACCCATTTAATGTGTTAATATGCCAGGATCTATTGCAGGGGTCTCAAACATGCGGCCTGGGGGCCATTTGTGGCCTGCCAGACAATAGTTTGTGGCCCCCGCCTTGCCTGCCCCCTGAAGCACCCACGCATCCTGTGCTGGCAAGAGTAAAAAAAAAAGCCTCACCTCACTCGCCGGCTCTCTCCCAAGATAGTGCCTCTTGCACTCTCCATCTGGAACTGCAGCCTGCCAGCTAGCCCGGTTCTCTGCTGGCTGGCAGGCTGCTGTTCCGGATGGAGGGTGCAAGAGGCACTGTCTGGGGGGACAGTCGGCGAGCGAGGTGCATTGCTGGCCCTTTTCCCCGAGTGCCCGAGCCACTGCCAAGCGATGCATGAGAGCGGAGCCCACTCCCAGCCTGTCCTCAAAGAGCGCCTCCAACAGTGCTGCCAACAGCAGCTGCCGCCGCTGCCTCTTCCAAGGAAACGGCTCTCTGGCTCTCTTTATCTCTTGGCACCCCCAGCACCAGCCCAGCCAGCGGCCGCCTCAGCACTCGGCAGTGTTTCCTCCTCCTCCTCTTCCTCCTCCTCTTTGTCCTGCTTCAGCCACCTCGGCTCTGGAGGCTGCCTGGACTCACCTCGCAAAGTTTGCTCCTCTGTCGTGGTGGGGGTAGCTGCTGCTGCTGAGTGCGCCTTTTTTTTGAGGGGGGCCCTCAGAGGAAGGTTGCCTGACCTCAGTGTGTGTGTGTGTGTTTGTGTGTGCGCGCCTGCCCACAAGCACCTGTGGGGGTGCCCACCCTGTTCTGTTTAATTTTGCGGGTACCAATGGGGGCTTTTCTCATCGGGCAAAGCGATTCTGGGAGGGTTTTTTTAAAAAATTATGTTGTGCCCTCCCCCCTAGCTAGGAGGTTGCCGGCACTCCCTCCCTTCTCCGCTTCTTCGTCCTGCTGCTGTTGCTGGTGGTGGTAGTGAAGAAGGAGGCAGAGGTGGTTGTGGCTGGTGAGGAAGACTTGCACGCCCCTCCTCCTCCTCCTCCTCCTCCTCCTCCTCAGAGCCCCAGTCAGGCTCAGGAAACTCCTGGGAGGATTCCTCAGGCTCCACTGGGTGGAAAATCTGATGCGGTCCAGCCTCTCCCAAACTCTGCCTCCGGCGGCCCCCAGGTAAA